GCAATAGTGTGGCCAGCAGGAGCAGGGCAGGGATTGTCCCCCTGTCCTGGGCACTGGTGAGGCCACACCTGGAGTGCTGTGTCCAGTTCTGGGCCCTGACTGCAGGAAAGACACTGAGGGGCTGGAGTGAGTCCAGAGAAGGGCAGGGGAGCTGGGGCAGGGTCTGGAGCACAAGTGCTGTGAGGAGCAACTGAGGGAGCTGGGGGTGTTTAGCCTGGAGAAAAGGAGGCTCAGGGGTGACCTTATCATTCTCCACAACTGCCTGAAAGGAGGCGGTGGCCAGGTGGGGGTCAGTGTCTTCTACAAGGCAGCCAGTGACAGGACGAAAAGAAATGGCCTTAATACCAGGAGACGTTGAGGTTGAGTATCAGGGAGAAGTTCTTCATGGAAAGGGTGATTAGGCATTGGAATAGGCTGGCCAGGGAGATGATGGAGTCAGTATGCTTGGAAGATGTCAAAAAACTCCTGGACATGGCCCTTAGTGCTGTGGTTTAACTGACAGAGTGGTGTTTGATCAAAAGTTGGACTCAGTGTTGGGACGTCTTTTCCAATGTTAATAATTCTGTGGTTCTATGACAAGTTAAAAAGGCCTTAGATTGCATCAGGGGAGGTTTTCCTTTGTTTAAGGAAAAACTTAAGAAATTAGTCCTTGAGCATTGGATCTGGCTCCTCAGGTTGGTGGTGGAGTTGCAGTACCTGGCATTGCTTGAAAATGAATCAGCATGGCATTTCGTGATCTGATTTAGTAGGGAGTGGTAGGTGTAAGAGAAGAATATCTGTATGATAAGCTGTTCTCATCTACATAGCCTCTTTCTGTGTTCTTTGTTAAAGTGTATGTGAGAAAGTTGCTTGATTGCAGGTCCTTACTGCAAACTTCTGCAGCTCTCCCTTCATAGTGACTCTCTGCCAAGACTAACTCATGCTGATTGAAGTTGTCATAAAGAGTCTGCTCACTGTGGTCTTGTGGTGGAAAATTACAATAAAATGCACTTTGTAGTCCTGCTATTAAAGCCACACGGGATTTTCAGCAATTCCTTTAGCCTGTTTGTACTAATGGGTTTAAATAGGTTTTGCTGCTTTTGCAATTGTAGTAAAAGGCTTGGGAATCTTAAATTACCATAGGATGAAAACATATTACAGATTGCAATTACAGCTGTTGTGATGTTGCAATGCTGTGAAGGAAGATGTGACAGGAAGGAAGTATTGCATAGTTCTCTATTCTGAAATTGATAACAGCCTTGTGGCCTTCTTAGCAAAACACCTGATTCTTTTCTTGAGGAGTAAATCTTCTCTAGAGTATGGATGAAGAAGGTTCACAAATAATTGCACTTGGGCATTAAAACATTTCTGTGTGTACTAAATGTTGGTAGTTGCACACTGTACAACATCATAATTTGTACATTTCTTACGTGTTTTCTTAAGTTTGAGCAGTTTGTAGAGCCTGCCTCTGGCTAATTTGACATAGTTTTATACGTGCCCACTGTAGGGACGCTGACTTTAGGCACACATTGGATTATGGTGGTCCTTTCTCTCTTCACCCATGCCTTTATCAAAAATCCACTGCTCTGTGCTTATACAGTAGGTCAGGGAGTAACATTAATTTCCATGCCAAATGTGTAATTTCTTAAAACTTTCTGACTGATTTTGGACCATTTGACTCATTGTTCCTTTTGAGTGAGCACTTAAGTGCTTCCTGCCCCTTAACTGTGGGTTGTCACACCCATTATTGTTGCTTCTTCAGTGATATGTTACATAAGTGTGGACATTGCGTTGCATTTAAACTAAGGCTTTAGTCATAAACCAGTAATTTAAGAGCATGGTTTTGAGGGTACTGCTATTGTTTAATTTTTATGTTACACTAAAGTGAAATTTAAGAATGGCATAGTTAATTTTTTACCTGTTAAATGCAGCCTTGCATGGAGATTGATGCTAGATTTCTAATGACAAGCTACTCATTGAAAAATGGAGTTATGCATATTTGGAAATTGATATCAAAATCAGACTGGTTTCACTGGATTTTTCTTCCCCATGAGTAAAATCACTAGGGACTAGAAGGACACTCATGGTTTTTGTGTTTTGCAGTACCGTAAGTCATTGAAAGTCTATTGTCATGCCCTCCTCTTTACATTTAGAGGACTGAAGTGGTTCAAGTCATTGGCACAGGTGGAAATCAGCCTAATGAGTTTCTTGGTTAAAACCAACTCTGCAACTTCCTGATATAAAATTCAGTATATGTTTTCCATCAAAACAGCTTTTGCTAAGACTGCACAATTAAACAATCTGCAGACTGGTCAATGAAAATGCACCTGTTTTTTTCCACTGAACTACAAAATTCTATGTTCTGTGCCACTATTATTACAGGCTCACTGTAATTATACAGTGGTCAGTAAACTTTATAGGGTGTGGTCATACATAATATAGAAAATAAATGTTTCTTGAAACTGAACAACTAAGAGTAACAAATCAGTTTGCAATGAGGGTCAGGTTTTTAGCAGTAGTTCTGAAGTCTCCTGTCTCATCCTGCCAACAGAGACAGTGGAAATGCTTCTCTTTGGGATCAACTGATCACTGGAGCAGTTACCCCTGAATCACCAGTCCAAACAATACTGATAGAGAGGCATCAGCAATGAAAACAGTTGAGTCCTTCCACAGAAGGCACTTCCTTCCTTGTGTTTTAGGAACAGTAGTAGCTTCACTTTGCTCTCACCCTAAGGATGGAGGAGTTAGTTCTTCTAGAGCAAAGTGAATAAAAAGTTCTTCATGGGCAAAGTGGATAAAAGTGTCTATGTGTCTGCGTGTGGCTATGGAACAATTCTTTGGCAGGATTTCTATTGTACTCTAAAGGTTTCCTGTCTTCTGTGCCAATCACTTTTCGTAAATGACATCACTTTAATATGATGTTTTTCTCTTTACTATTCACTTGCTACTAATGGTAGTAGCTGAAACAGTTACTGATGTTATCATTAAGTGCCCTCTGCATCCTGGAATCTCCTAAGTGCTACTGTCCAGTCCACAACCAAACATTTAAGTCTGTGGAGGCCTTAATGTAAACATGTACATCACCATGAGGCAGGCAGACAGATGACTCAAGGTTTTTAAAAGTTAAGCAGATGTCTAATTAGTCTGTTAGGTCTGGTGCAGCTTTTCATGATTTTGAAAGATTGGGCAGTCAACTTTCAATGTGTCAGTGAACTCGATGTATTAATCTGTAAGAACAGGCAACTAATCAGACCTAGTATAGAATAGAGGTTCAATAATTAAACATAATTAAGGGTCAGGTCCTGCCCTTTCTTATATTCTTACTAAAGGAAAAAAAATGTGGTATACCAAAGAGCACTTAGGTTACAGTTTACGTCTGATTCTTTTGAACTGCGTTTGTTTCGTCTGTTACCTCATAGTAAAACAAATGCAAGTTTTCAAAAATATCACTATGCATGCTAATACATACTTTTTAAATAGCAAGGGGAATTAAAAATTGTGAAAAACAGAGTTCACTCCTTAGAATTTTAAAAATTTTAGTAAAGGATAAAAGAAGGACAAACAACTAATCCTGCACTGGGGTGCTTTTGGCGAACAACCAAAAAGCATGGAGGTAGCTTAAAATTATGTTCGCTATATACAGTAACATTGCTGCATATTCATTAGCTTATACATTATTTAAACATTCCGTTGAGTTTTTCATGTTCTAGGAACTCTTGTTTGGTTTTAATTTCTGACTTGTCTGCAGGACATTCTGTAAATTAGTATTTTATTTCTTCCTGTAGTTTTATCCTATTGGTTCACACTCCCTGATAGCACTGATCAGAGTTGGTAGATCTTTCTCAGATTCCTTGCTCTGTTTTTTGTCACTGTTATCACTTGAAGAGGCCAGTCTGCAGATGTAAGAAACAGAATAATTGCTTTACATTATTCTCTGAGTTAGTTATTTGGAAGTATTTTAGTCTCTATTTTAACATTTTGTTAAAGCCCATGATATAATCTATTTATCACACTTCTATTTGTAAGAACTATACAATGCATACTTAAACCGTCAGATTATACAAAGCAGTTAAAAGTATGTAGAAGTTGTAATATATCAAAATACTTCTGATGCAAAAAGCTAATCTGTTAATGTGAAAGCCAATATTATTTTATCATCTATAACAAAAACCATTAAAGCAGTTTGCAGTGCAGCCTCACACCAAGGTTATGGTTGATGGGGAGATGGCATTTTGAATGAACATCATTCAAAAATAAAAAGGTAAGCAAATGGGCTACCTGGCTGAATCTGATGACTAGCTCTAAATAGGGTGAAGGCTAATGAATGATCTGGAAGCTGGAGGGGATGTTGAGCTTGTGTGTTAAAACAGTCTGAAAGAACCTGAGCTGCACAAGCCATGGAAGTTGAAATGAGTCAATCTGTAGCTTCTCTTGTGTGTGACACTAGTGCAGGATAAACAATTTGCTGTCTGTAATGGATCTCTTCCTGAATTAGGGCCAACTGGTGTTACTGATTTCATTATTAAAATTCAGTATCTGTTCTCGGAGAGTGTCTGCTTAGAGAGAGGCCTCTCAGTGCTTAATAGGAGACCTGTAACTAGGGACTTTGGATTTCCATTTACTAACTTCACAGCATCTTAATTGCAAAGTTCCTTCTGATTTTCAGTCCCGTTATTCCTTATTATGTTCGTGATGACCGCAGTCTTCTTCCAAGCCATTAAGTGGAATACATTTGTTAGTTTTAAAGGGGATCACACTTGATTTATTCCCCTGCCCGTGCTCTAAATGATGCATGAGGTGCTTACTCGCCGGTGGCTGTTCCCCAACGCGTTTGTTTCTCTGCGCGTGTTTCAGCCATTTGAAGACGCTCTGGACCTCATTCCCCCTCACCACGGCCGCCCGCCTGATTACCGCCCTTGGGGAGAGCGGCGTCCCCGCCCCGCCCGGCCCGGGAGGAGCGGGGTGGCGGCGCGCTGCGGAGGGCCGGCGGGGCGGCTCCGGGCACGGGCGGCTGTCGGGGCTCCGGCAGGGCCGAGATCTGCCCGCGGGGCCGTGCGGGGCGGCAGCCCGAGCCCGGCACCGCTAGTCCCAGCGCCGGGCCTGGGGGTCCTGCCCTGAAGAATTGCAGGAAGAAGCGTTCCTTGTGCTCAGCCGGCAACTTCCTATTTTGTCCGTCCCTTGGCCGTCGCGGGGAGGCAAAGGCCCCTGTTAAACCAAACGCCCGTTCTTGCAATTGAGGTAAGTGAAAAAGACGTTTTCAGAAGAGGTCTCTCTGCTCATTTTCATTTATATGAAACGTGGCAGAGTGTGAAACTCTTCCCCGGACTGTTACTTGCGTGGATCTCTAGCAGTGAAGCTCGCTTGCATTCGCGTCTGTCCATGCGTTCATCCCAGACTTGGGGCAGGATATGCTTCTGTGTCTCTTCGGGCCAAAGAGATCCTTTTGGTTTCTTTCTTTCAAGTCCATGAGATAGTAAGAATCGAAACTTTCTGTTTAGCTCGTTGCATTCGTCTCATTTTGTAAAGAACGTGATACAGCTGCTTGGCAGTGGTTTTCCTTGTGTGTGTGTAATGGTTAAGAGTAAGCTCTCAAAATGTTTGCATTGTATGCAATTATCAAAGGAAGGAAAAACTCTTACTTAATTTTTCTCTGCTTATTTTGTATTCACTCAGATTTTCTCAGAGTGACGTATCAGACTTAAATGCGTGGGTCCCAGGTTTCTTCAATGCTTGCAATTTTTGCCTTTTGGGGAAAAATATTTTTGTAATGTTTTTGTCTCCATATCCATCATGAGTACCATCTTCATGCACTCATGCTTAAATTGGGCAAGTGTCACTTGCCTTCTCACCTGTAATGGATTGCTTGACTTGTCTTTTGGGAGTGGAGGGTCTGTGAGGAGCAGCTGAGGGAGCTGGGGGTGTTTAGCCTGGGGGAAAGCAGACTTGGGGAGACCTTATCACCCTCTACAACTGCCTGAAAGGAGGTGGTGAGATGAGGGTCTGTGTCTTCTCCCAAGTTATAAGCAGTGGATAAGGAAATTGCTGCAAGTTGCACACAAAAGGTTTAGATTAGGTATTAGGAAAACTTTCTTGCCAGAAAAAATTGTCAAGCACTGGAACAGGCTGCCTGGGAAAATGGTGGAGTCATCGTCCCTGGGGGTATTTAAAAGGCATGTCGATGTGGCATTTGGGAACATGGGTTAGCAGTGGACTTGGCAGTGCTGGGTTAATGGTTGCACTTGATGGTCTTGAACCAAAATTATTCTGTTTAAAATAGTTGAAATCCAACTTCTAGACTCCATCTGTGAATTAAGAGATTGAGCAAGAAAAAGTTTTCATGCATGAAGGAAGCTTTGTGTATTGGGCAAAAGAATGGAGTGGTCAGATTTTTCTGTCAGAGGCTAGTCAGTAGCTAAACAAGTTTCAAAAGGGATAAAAAGGGAGAAAATATAAGCTTTGGGCTTATATTATAGAGGTTGCAGTATTGAAGATTAAAGATACTGATTTTTCTATAATTATTTAAACCTGGGGAAATTTTGCATTTTTTGTGTTTTGGTGTTTGTAGGGGGCATTTTCCATTCAAAAATTACCTACTAAGAGATGTCAGAACATAAATGTGTTTAGTAGTGTTTGGAGCCTGATTTCTCACTACCATGCCATGTTCTGCCTCGCAGTTTTGATTAAGATCCAGAAGTATTGTTAGTAAAGTTTGCAGCATAGATGGTAAAGAACAGCAGGATATATAACCTTTATGAGTTGATCTGAAGCAGCAGGGTTATGGTGCTGCAATGAGTCTGAGTTCATAATGTTTTCTAAAATACGTGATTAAATATCTTTTTCAGTTATTTAATATATTACATGTACAGATAAGTTTCGGGGTCGTGATAATCTTTCTTGAATGTAAAGAAAGTATGCAAGTGAAGTTTTGTGCTTATTTTATTGTCTGTGGAGCATGGTATTACCTGCACTGTGGAGCATGGTATTACCTGCACTGTGTTCCATGTTCTTCCACTTGCAGCACTGGGTAATACAGGGATTATAACTATATTCTGCATTTTGGGGCTGTAGCTGATTCCATAACAGTCCAGAAACGTATTTGCTTTCTTCCAAAACAAGTTTTTTTAACATTATTTAAGTAGATGTGTGTTGTACGTCTAGTTCCAGTCTTAGTTTGAAAGGCAAGACTGGAGAAGGTGAACTAGTGCTCCGAAATAGTAGAGAGAATCTTCCTTTTGATTTTCTGACAGATGTGTATTCTGTACAATACAGATTGAAGGCACTTAAGATTGGAGCCACTTTAATCTGACAAATGTGAAAGATTTTGATCTGGCTTTTCAGTGAGAGCTGCAAGTTTCTTTAGGGTTCAGTGTATGGATCCTCCTACCCTGCCCATCCATTTTGCCCACCTAGTTGCTTGCCACACCAAAGACAGCTTGTTCTCCATCAACACAAAAGGGCACAAAGGCAGACGTTGTCTAATAATGTCTTACTTGCTGAATCATCTGGTGCAAAGTCATCTCTCAAAGTAGACCTGTGCAGCCCAGGTAGACTTTGTAGTCACTCAGACAATGAGCCAAAGAAGGAGGCTTGCTCCAGCAAGAGACCTGTACAGGAACTCTCTTTAAACCATAGCTTGTCTGCTTTTCCTTTGTCAGTGAAAAAAGAACATGGAAGGACAGTGCCTGAAAGCAGCATTTTGTCTGGTAATACACCCAAAATTTAGTTCTAGTGATAATGATGACCTGACCTTTCCTTTAGTGAGCATTAGCAAATTGGATGTCACTGTGTGACCCATATGTAAAGATAAAGTAAATCTTGTTTTGCATTTGTAACTTTAAGCTTTTTCTGTAAAAATACTGTTTCTTTTATGAGGTACAATACATGAATTAGTAAAAGAATATCTGTTTTGCAGCTTTTTTTATCTATCTGAGCATTTTGTACTTTAAGATTTCTATAGAGACTTATTTGTTATGCTTGTTCAGAGAAGAATGACTTATATTCTTTTTTTTCCTATTAGTATCAAGCTTATGTGGTTAAAAATTTGATTTAAATTCCAATGTAGCAGCATTTTATATTATAATTTACAAATATTTAGTGTACTGCTTTATGAGAAAAAAAAAAGACTTTCCAAAACATGTTTTGCATCTGTAACTCAAGCGTATACTAAGCAGAATAACTGTTATCAGCAGTTATTAGCAGAACTGACTTTTCCTGGTCCCTGTGTCCTTCATAATTTTAGAACAAAAGTATCTTATCCTTTTGTGACTAGATTTGCTATTTAGAGACTGAAAGAGGAAAAAATGCCTTTCCTGCTTTTTCAGTTTCCAGTTGGTTTGAAATTTTTAAATTAACAAGTTGTTTGACATGATGTGAGGGGTTTGTTTTTTGTTTTTGTTTTTTTTTGGTGTGGTTTTTTAGTTTTGGGGTTTTTTTTACATTATGGTGCTCTTAGAACAAGTTTCTGTGGTCAACAGTTGATGCAGCATTTTGAGAGCCTCACCATGTGGCTCCTTCAGATATGTCTGTAAGCTTAGTAGTTTTCTGAATAGATATGCATTGTTTGAATTAATTTACTTTAAGTGGTGTTAGTAGATTATGATATCATTAAGTTTTCTGGTAGGCCATCATAATTTAAAATACATACAGGTTTATTTTATAGAAAAAAATGCACGTAACACCTATTTAAAGGTGTTTCAAGTCCCATGCATCCTGCTCTGAGGTTCAACTGAGTATTTTAAGCTCAGTTAAAGACTGTGAGTTGTGAAATCACTGTGCCCAGCATCTTTGATCACAGTGTCTGTCATTTTTCCCATGGATGGGCATAAGTCATCAGGGTTAAAGAGCTGAAAAAAACATTATCTGTCCCTCAAATTTACTGCTTCTTCCGTTAAGTTTACTTGTTATTGTCTTCTCTTGACCAATGTAGAAAACCCTCCATTTTCCTCTTAGGATGCTCACTGATACTCACCTTTGATGCAACTGATCATGAATCTGGTGCACCCTATTACCAAAAAGTAAATATTTGAATAATTTTCCTGAAATGTCCTCTTTCCCTCTAGGATTTCCCTAAGTGCAAATGGATTTGAATCTTGGAGTTCTGAAAACAGATGGTTATTCCTTTTCCAGGTGCATTTTGCAGAACATCGTGGTTGGGTGGCCCAAGGGGTAAGAGTGGAGGCTTAGGCTTCTGGCTTTCAGTGTTTGCTGGCTGTGGATAGGACAAGGTCTGTCTCTCCATGTAAAGCCATCATGGGAGAGCTGTAGCAATGGATAGTAAAGACTAAATGAAAAGAGGGTCTATTCAGCTTCCTTCTTCCTTCATAGTTGTTTAGTAGAGTGTCAGACTTCATAGGAAAGACTTTCTTGTCATGTTCCAGCAAAAATGTTAAAAATTGTTGAAGATGACAAGAACTTCTCTCTCTAGTCTCTCTCCCCAGTTCTCTCCTCTATTTCACCAATGCAGATGCTTGTCTGATCATGTAGCAAGTTGCTTACATTTGCTAATGTAGTACAAATACTTTCTTTCCTTCGTTTTCTGCTGTTTTGGCAAGTAGGAGTAACTTACTGTGTGGCTAGAGAAGCACTAGAAGAGAGGAAAAAAGTACAGGATGGATACAGGATGAGGAGCACCAACTGTGTGTGTATGGAATCTTTGACTATTTAAGGTTTCTGGTGTGCGTGTGAAACTAGCATTTTTCAAAGGCTTCTAACTTGGCATTGCAGCCACTTTGGTTATGCCTGTTCTTGTAGTGCTGTGCTCCACTGTGGTGGGATATGTCATGGTATGTGGTATTTTCAGCTTAAGCATTCAAAAATATTTTCATGATTTGCCAATACTTCTGAGTTCAAATTAGTTCCTAAAAAAGTATGGGATTACTGGAACTAGTTAAAGGAATATGATAAAAAATTTGGAAAAAATTGGAAACAGCTAAACTGTTTTGGTTGAAATGCAGCCTCTTCTGTCTCATATCCCTCAAAAATAGCAAATCCACATGTGCAGGATATCAGCAGAAGCTTTATCTCTTATTATGGGGAATAAGCTAGGAGTTAGAGATACACATGTGCCTGCAAAGCTGTGGTCTTGGCATAGTGGAGATGTGGTGGGATGGTTCCTATGGCAGGAGTGCTGGAATGGAAGGATACAGGTTCTTTATGAAGGACAGGCAGGGGAGATGAGGAGATGGTGTTGTCTTTTATCCAGTGACCACTGGGGAGCACAGAGCTCTGCCTGGGGGCAGGTGAGGAGCTGACAGACCAGTAATGGGGCAGGGACAGGGGCAGGGACAAGGGGACATCATAGTGGAGGTCTGCTACAGGCTACCTGACCAGGAAGGCTGAGCAGATGAGACTCTCTACAGACAGATTTGGGGAGCCTTTTGTTCATAAACCCTGGTGTTCATGGGGGTCTTCAACTTCCCCATCTGTCTGAAGGACAGCACAGCTAGACATGTGCAATCTAAGAGGTTTTTGAAATGTGTTGGTGGTTACTTCCATCTCCAGGTGGCAGTGGAGTCGATGAGGAGAACTGCTGTGGTGGACTGTGTTGTCCCCAACGTGGAGGGGCTGGTGGGAAGATGAAGCTCAGGGGCAATCTTGACTTCCATGACTGTGAAATGCTGGAATTTGATCAAGATCCTTAGGGCAGCAAGGACAGTAGGCTCATTATCCTGGATTCAGAGGAGCAGACTTCAGCCTCTTCAAGAACCTGCTTGGTAGAATATGATGGGATAAAAGCCTGGAGGGAAGAGGGGCCCAAGAGAGCTGGATGATACTCAAGATAAAAATCTTTCTCAAGCTAAGGATTGATGCATTCCAACAAAGAGGAAGTTGGTCAAAAACACTGGGAGGGCTATTTGGACGAGCTCAAACACAAAAAGGAAGTTATACCGAGTAGAAGCAGGAACAGGTAGCCTGGGAGGAGTACAAAGAGCAGCCAGGGATCAAGTTAGGAAAACTAAGAGTCTTGATAGAATAAAATCTGGAGAGGGCCATTAAATGAAGGGCAATGAGAAAAGCTTCCGGTGTTGTGCTGGTACAGAATACTTGGAACAAGTACTTTTTTTTATTGCCATCAATAGTGTAATCCATCTTTACTTCTTTGAGAGCAAAAACATACATCCTATATGAATAAGTGGTAATACATTTTCTTTATGTACTGGCTTTGTTTCTTGATGGAACACATCTTGCTACTGCTGTATTCTAGGAGTATGTCACTGGACAAACAACACCCTGATTTTTCTTTGTATCCCACATGTTCTTTTCATTTTTTTCTCCTGTTTTTTTTTACTGTCATAGCCTCAAAATTTATAAAATGCTTCTCAAGACAAACTTAAAATAATATTTTAATTGATTTCTGACAGAAACTGAGCTCAAAGCATTGTTTTTATCATGTTTTTCTCTTTTAGATTACTGTAAAGTTTAATTTTTTAAGAAAATCCAAGAAGTTTTTGTGGAAAAAAAACATAGTGTGGAGTATAATCTGTACTGCCTATATCCCACTTAGATCTCTGTCCAGTAGCCTGGTGCACACCTGCTTCCTGGCATTATCTGAACCTGTGGGAGCAGGAGATACTTTATTGGGGCTGAAAGCTACTGGTGTGCCTGTTTTAGGGAGATAGTACTTGTCTCCCACCTGGAGCCATCCTGAGACACAGGTTCAATGGGGAGCTGAAATTCCAGGAAAATCTGAAAACCTAATGTGAAACATGGACTCTAGCAACCTGCAAAGTAGTAATGCCCCTGTGTTGCTTATGAGTATAGTAACTAGAGCTGCATGTCCAGGAAGTAGGAATAGTGGGCTCTAGCCCCTCATGTGGTGAGGGCATCTGACACCTCTGTTTTCTACAGGCTGATCTCTACTTACTAGCCAAAGGAGTAGTATGGGTTGCCATTCATGCTGGAATTGGACCACTTTACAGGGGTTCTTACAGACAAGCTGAGGAAGCAGGGGCTGCATGAGCAGTAAGATGAATTGAAAACTGGCTTAATGGAGGCCAACCACTGGTGGTGTATCCCAGTGGGCAATACTGGATCCGGTCCTGTTCAACATTTTCATTAATGTTCTGGATTAGAACGCTCTGGCAGAGACTGTCTGCAGTGAGTTTGCTGATGACACGAAACTGGAAGGGGTGGCTAATGAACCAGAGGGTTGAGCTGCTGTCCACAGCGACCTTGGCTGGAGAAACGGGCTGGCAGGAATTTCATGAAGTTCAATAAGGAGAAGTGCCAAATCCTTCATCTGGGAGGTGCAACCCCAGACAGCCGTACAGGGACCTGGCCAGGTGGAGGGCAGCTTTGCAGACAATGTTCTGGTTGTCCCTGACACCCAGTAGAACGTGAGCCAGCAGTGTGCCCTTGTGAAAAGAATACTGGTTTCCTGGGCTGTGTTAGGACTGCAACTAGTAGGTCAAGGGAAATGATCCTGTCCCTCTGTTCTGCTGACACATGCTTGGAGTATTTAGTCCAGTTCTGGACTCCTGATAGCAAGAGAGACATGGACAGAGTTCAGGGAATATCCACAATGACAGTTAATGTACTGGAGCATCTGCCGTGTGGGAGCTGGAGCTATTCAGCCTGGAGAAGAGAAAGCTTCTCATCAGTAAGAGAAAGATCTCATCAGTACCTGAGGGGAAGGTTCAAAGAGGGTTCACATAGTCATCTTTCCAGTGATAGGACCAGAGGCAGTGGGCACAAGCTGAAACAGAGTAGGTTCCTTCTGAACATCAGGAGATATTTTTTTTTACTGTGAGAATGGGTGAATACTGGAGTAGGTTACCAGAGAGTTTGTGGACTCTCTGTCAAGGGACATCTTCAGAAGCTGTCTGGACATGGTCCTGGGGAGCTGGCTGTAAGAGGCCCTGTGTAAGCAGGGAGTTTGGATGGTCTGTAGGGGTCCCTTCCAAACAAACATTCTGTGATTCTGTAAGTGCTGACAGCAGCACTCAAGGCAAGAAGAGTGTTTGATTTTTGTAATTTTTTCTTACAGAACACTAGATTCATCTGTCCTCCTAGAAGAAATCAGTCTACTACTTTGCTTTCCTCCTTCTTAACCTAGAGTCTGAGGTTTTTTTGGCTGGACAGTAGTTAAGTAGTTCTTTTCAAAAAGAAAGGCAAAGAGAGGTGCCTTCCTTTGTCTTCGCAGAGTGCACTCAGGGGTGTTCCAAGGGATACTTAACCAGGGAAAAACCAATACAAATTCACCCTCCTTTGGGTGAAAGGTGACCTGGACTGTTGTCCACATCCTGAACATTTCTTGACTATGTGGTGGTGATGAACATGATAGGCAGATAATTCCTTCTCTTACAGCAGCCTTCATTTTCAAAAGAATTTGCTAGATGAATCTGCTTAGAAAAGACTAGGCAGGCTGAATGTCAAGTGAATGGAGATACATTTCTTACCAGTTATTTACATGATCCTTGGAAGGTAAAACTCTTGTGTGGATTGGATTTCCCACAGTGTTATAGTTACACTTGTCTTTCTCTTTGTTATAGGAAATGTACACAACTTGTCTTAGTAAAATTGCATCAAATTTCTCCATTGTTCAGGTAAGTAACACTTAGACAAAGCAATACTTCACTTGAATACAAATGGGAAAAGCTATTAACATTATTAACTCTTGCACAAATCCTAACAAAGTACTAAAAGGGCATCTTCACTTTACTTTAAAAATAAACATTTTTATTTTTATTTTATGATAGCATTTTCTGCCCATACTTATTTGAGAAGGAAATGTTCAGCAATTTGGTTTGGATGTTTGTCCTACTCTGCAGCTCTGTAGCAGGTATGTTTCTGGATTATTAGCACCTGTCTTGCCATAAGAAATTTTTCCAAAAGGTAAAATTTGCCAAATGAAATTTTGAAGAGTTCTGAAATATATTGCAGCTTTGTTGTAAATTTTAGCCTTACTGATTTAATGTATTTTTGGATATTGTAAGTAATAATGATAAATGCATGTAAGTTACATGCATATCTTTTATATATAGGAATGTTTTGTAAAAACAGACTTGAAGTACAAGCTTTTTTTTTCTTCCTTTAAGTCTATTAATAAAGTATATGAGTGGAAACTTCCTCATTATTTCTGTGAAGTTGTTGAAATACCACTCTAATGTAAACACCTATTGTAATACAGTAATTAATGTGAACTTCATTTTCAATCAGCAGTGTCTGATTTCAGTGACTAACTGGGCATTTTATTTGATTTCTAAATGAAAAAGAAAATTAAATTATCTTTAGACAACAAAACAACTTACCATTTTTCCACTAGTATTTTAAGAGGAATATGGCTATGTGATGTCTTTGATTTTTTTTTTTTTTTAGATGAAAACTCCATCAGAGATGCTGACATTTTTCCTTCATCTCCTGAAATTGAAAGAGGATCCTCCCTGGAACTATCTTGCGTTCTTAGAAAGAGTGACACACCTCAGAGAAATGCAAACCACATCATCTGGAAACTGAATGATGCATTGATTTCTCCAGAAGAATATAACATTGTGAATGAGACTGTATCTAATATAACCATCCATAATTTCACTTACAGCACAGCTTATGTAGAATGTCTCATGAAGTACTTGGACAAGGAACTACCTTTGGTTCACACAGTAGTTAAATCTGGCTGTAAGTAGAAAGGCAGAAAGAATAATCTTAACACTTTTTAATAACTTAATATAATAATATTACTTCTAAAACAGCTACTTTTGGTTGTTGCATTTTAAAACACATGTATTCAAGTATATATATATTTATATACGTATTATTTTTTTTCTGAAATAAAGCATGAAATTACCAGCATTTCTTACTGACACAGGTCTGTAACCACTCAGACCCTTTTGCCCAGATGAAGTTTTCTGTCGAGTTCCAAAGATAGTGGGTCTGTCCCTTTGGTTATATCTTCTTTCTAGACTAGCCAACTTAAGCTTTCTCCAGAGATGATTTCCTCTCTAATCCTCTCTTCTGAAGAAATTATATTTACACTCTCTTACAGAGAATGTTAAAATATGTGTATGAATTCTCTAATTCATTGAACAGATTAAGTCAAGATGATACTAGCAGGTGACTGGGCCTCCCATTCTAATAAAGAAGCAATAAAAGCAAAACATCTGTAGGAAAAAATCCAGCAAAAGCCTTGCTTGTCTGCAAAGCTTAGTGTGCTGTAAGCTTGTTGATAAAAGCAAGATCTTTTGACAATTCTATTAGATGGGACAGAAAAATGCTGTTTTGAAAAGAGGGCTTTTTCAAAAGTTTTTTTAGTTTATTTCACTGGGCACTGTTCTTTTCTACTCCACTTTCTTCTAAGCGAAATTGAAGTGAAGAAATTGAACTGTAACAAAAAAGTCTTTCAGGGTGTTCGGGTGTTACATTTTTATGGATGACTTCAGACTGTAGAGATTGCAGAAGATTGTTTCCTTTGTGCTGTCTTGCTTTTAAGATAATGAGAGTCCAGAATTAGTGATCTCTTTGAGGTCACATAGATCTGTTTCCCAGGAACTTCAGCAGTCTTGAGGCTGGGCAGGTGTCTCAGATTCAGGTCTTTCATAGGGTAAATGATTAGGTATTTAGAGAGAGAACCAAAAGGAGTTCTGTCTGTCACAGAATGCCTTTTTGTTGGTGCTTTTGCTGTTTGTTTTCCTCTTACTTTCTGGACTCACCTTAAACTACAGATGTGTTTCAGGGGATAGACGGGGTATGTATATGCTTAGATGTTGAAGATAGTGTATGAAGTGGTTTGATATGTGATAGTTAAAGAGTTACTGCCTTTAGACACACTTAGTAAGGTATTTCTGAGAAGTAGTTGGAGAAAATCTCACTGTCTCCTCAGGGTAAGATTGAGTGGTTTTGATTTTGGCTTTGTGAAGAGTTCTGGGGGCAGTGAGGGATGATAAAATGAAGCACTATGAAGACACTGAATGAAGTTTGCCGTAATTGCTTTTTGACCAACAAAATCAGGTGTACATAAAGTTACTTCTGCTGTTTTGTTTGTTTTTTTTTAACCTCGCTAATTGTAGTTCGTCCAGACATGCCAGAAAATATTTCCTGCATTTACTTCTATGATGTTAACCTTACCTGTACCTGGAGTGCAGGAAGAGAAACAAGTTTTACAACAAACTATACTCTTTACCGAAAACTGTAAGTACTAGAGATACTGGGCATTGGGCTGCTGGGGTGTGACAACCAGTTCTCTTCCTCTCTCATCCTGACTTCTGTTTAAAGAAAATTTGAAATCATCATGGAGATTGGAGTATTGGCATTTCTCAGTAATTCAAATTGGTTAATTCAGGGTTGGTAGTTGTTGAAAATACTTGCAGTCTGATACCTTTTTAGTGTGCTTTATAAAGGAAATAAGCATTCTCAATGAATATTCAGTAGAGAAATATATATATCAGAGTTGATGCTCACTTGTTCTTTGAAGTAACATTACTAGTGAGATTGAAAGTTGAGTGCCCATACACACAAATGGAGAATGGAGGCATTTATGGGAGAGTTTCCCAAAAACTTTCTATGTAATGAATTATCCTCATTTTGGGTGTGTAAAAAAGTTTGCTTTCTCATCTGCTTTAAAAAATTCCCATCAAAATTCATTAAACCACTGCTTTACTGCAGTATTCTGCTTGACTCCAGTAGTGTTTGACCTAGTGACCCTTGGAGTCATAAGGTTTCAGTGAAAAAATCCAGAGCTGTCCTTTTGGATTGCTTGGGGATTTCTTTTTACAAATACAAATTATGTGGTCTCATGCTTTCCAGTGTAAAAGCATAGATACTTGGTTCTTTCCATTTCTATTAGATTTTAAATGTTGGTTAGGAGCTTGCTTTTTCATAAGTAACTGTGAAAATAGTGAAATCAGTGATGTTCCAAGGCAGATCTCAGAAAGGATTTTGAAGGTGATAGCACAGATCTATCCCAGATGAACTTGTCAATCTGACCTTCATAGTGCTGCTTCTGTAGTAGTAGTAGTAGTAGTAGTGCTTTTTTTCTGCCTAACCAAGACTCCAGGTAATACTGTTTCATGAAGATATTTCTAAAATGGCTGAAGTTATTCTTGAGAATAAGAAGGAATTCAGACTCTGAATGGTACTTTTTCCATCTGGATGGTACTAGCACTATTGTGCTAGTGTATACTATCTTTTTAATTTAAATTGTGAGGTAGGGAAACCTCTTTATTTTTATCTCCATTTTAGCTTTGATGTTTTAGTCTTCTACCCTTTTAATGTGTAACTTTCTTACTACTTCTGGTGTTTCTGTATTTTATAACTTAGCTGCATTTGTGAAGCCAGAAGCTAAAACAGCCTTTGAAAGCACATTTCAATATTATTCCTTCCTGTATAAGCACAGACTTTTTATTAGCCACAGAGTCAATTGGACTGCAGAACTATTTCCAGCCAAATCTAAACATTAGTTTTAATCCTGGTATCTCCCTAGATGAGTTAGCATGTGACTGCAAAAGCACTGGTACAAGGGGGCAGGGAAATTAGGAAAGGGTATTCATTTGCACAAACATGTTGTCTAAAGATGTTCACTGGTAAAAAAGTCTTGCAACCTCAAAGATATAAATGATAAGCTAAGAATTTGTTTGAATTATTCTAAGAATGTCCTCTAGTTTCTAACTGTTTTTTTTGTTCTCTTTTATAGGATGAGTTCTCCGTATACAGTCAGATCCTGTCAGAATACAACAGAGTCATGTTCATTTTTTTATCCATACAATGATTATAGTAATGATTTTTGTTTTCAAGTGGAAGCTAAAAATGTTTTGGGTGAATCCTTAACAGAGTGTGTTTCTATACCTTTGCAAAAAATAGGTAATTAAAAAAGAATTAATAAAGATTTAATTTATCACCTTTCCATGTAAAATTCTTCAAATTGGTTGGTGTTTCAGGAGTAATTTTCAGCAGTTTCTTGATCTTACTGTGAAGTGGTGAGAAATGACAGGGTGTTGTTTTCATGCTATGCAACATCTAACTGCAACAATACTTCTTTAAGCTAATATCTGATATATCCATTATAAATTTTTAATAATTGAGAAGTGAAGGCCTTATATTAAAACTTTTTGTCATCCTAATTGGTACTCAGATGCTAATATTTCTGAGTGGCACCAAATACCATTGCAACATGTGGCTGTAATGAATAGTGATATTGCAGTTTCTCAAGGACCATCCATTATTTGCTCTGCTATTCTATTTTCTGGTTAGGAATGTTAAAAAAACCCACCTGTTCTATGTGAGGTAATGATTGCACAAAAGAATATTATTTTGTCTATCCCTTCTCCTTCTGTCCCGTGCTTCTCCTCTGTTCATTTTGGTGTTGTTAATCAGTAACTCTTGTAACTGACTACTTTTTGCTGCAGCACTCAACATCAGTCATATCCTTTATTCCTGTGTTCAGACCTGCTGTGACTCCTCAGTACTCTTCACATATGACTCTCATTACTCTCCACATTCTCCATGCCAGACTTGTCTTTTCTCATTGCTAGGCCATTCTTTTCCCATCATCTCCTTTACACTTCTCTCCCCCTCAGATCCTTTGCAGCTGAATTCTTTTCTCATCTGCAGTTCAGTCTTGTCTTTGGCATCCCAGCTCTGTTTCATTTGTTTTCCCTGCTGTTATCTCTGGGTAATATTTTTCAGTGCTGATACAAATGAAAGACATCTGCACATCTATTTGAGAGCAGGTTTGTGAGTAGAATCACAGAATCATAAAAAGGCTTGGGTGGGCAGGGACACCTTCCACTAGACCATATTGTTCAAAGTCCCAAGTAATTAAATCAGTTATGTGTGCAATTTCTCTTACAGTTTACTTTTTATATGTAGGATTATGTCTATAAAATAAACCACCACATGAATACTCCAATAGGATGTGTGTTACTGGGATAAGGATTTAACTTCTTGGAACACACAGAGAAATTTTCAACTTTTATAGAAGCATTTTCCTCTCCTAATGTTTTTGTTTCTTCTTTCTAGAGAAATTTGCCTCTCCTGAAATACTTTCAGTAAAAAAAATCCCTGGTATTAAGCAGTTACTTATGGTAACCTGGAAAATGCCTGAGAAAATTATCCCTTTAAAACATATAATTTGCCAGGTTCAATACAGAAACTTGTATTCAAACTTTACCGTAAGTTACATAATTTTTCTTTTGCATGCCAGTTTCTTTGTGACTAACATCTTAATATTATAAAAATTATAGAAGAAAGAAAAGCAACAGGTTTTTTGATATAATGATAATAACCTTGCTATTGTAGTAGAATGTTATCAGGGGTGCGTGATCTTAAACAGTGCGTGAGCACTGTTTGGTTTTCTAGGGTTAATTGTCCTTTCTCTTTTGTTCATTATCTGTTTTGTTACATATCGTGCTTCTCAGTATTATTCTGTGGAAGGATGAGGGATGACCCTAGGCCAAGGGATTATACATGCAATCAGTCACAATATTTTATTTTTCTCTTGCATTCTGGTGTTGAAAACAGCAGTTGCTCAGAACCACATTATTTGAATCTGATTAAGATGGAATGATGTTAAATTTATTTGAAAGTGAATGCAAGTACAAATTTTGCAAGATGCAAAATAAGGGAATTTATTTTCTTAGTTTGTCTTCCTGATAGTTAAGGAGAATGGTTGTAAAAAAAACCCAGTATTTGCATATTTCAGCCGATCTATTCCTGTGGTTCTCAATATGGAAGGGGTCGTGTTTGTAGTTTTACTATTTCTTCTTTCAAATTAAAGAAGTGGGCAAGTTTCTTGGATTGTTTTTTTTAATTTCATTGAACTGTCTGTCTACTGTTTTATGCACTAGCACTACATGTAAAATTTTGGGAGAAAAAAATACATCAAGGTAGTCATCAGAGCTTTAAAAAAGTTTCTAATGTTAAAGATGTTTCTAACTAGCATCTTTCTCACGTTCTCGAGCATCATTACTGTAAATATGGCATACTATTTCTTGGATTCAGGATATAATATTCAGAATGATTGGATGGGCAGGAGGGCTCAGGTCCAGTTGGGGTACTGGAAATGGAACTAATGATTGTTTAAAAGATGTGTTTGAGATGTTTATCCCTTTGGAGCCAAGGCTCTGGTCCCCTTGTGACACTTACTGCTCTGAGGTCCTTGGAGGGCTACAGCGTTATTGTTTATCCTGGCTATTTTTCAGCACTTGCATTAGAAATCACCTGTTTTTTTTAGCTATCAAGTACAGTCTGTCCATTTGCTTCCTCAGCTCACACCTCTGGATTTTCACACAGACATTCCAGAAGAAGCAGTAGATATCCATGACTAGTAAAGACATAGGAGCTGTTTCTCTGTCAGCACATATATGCAAAAACCCCCCAACGAACCAAAACCACCCCCCCAAAAAACCAACTAGAAAATATTTGAGCAAATGACAGATACTTTCTTGGCGTTTAAAGTCATCAGAGAAAACCAGTCTAAATAGTTTGGTGTGAAGTGTTTTTACTGAGTGAAAAACATGTGACCTGTTTTTGTACTTGCATATACTAAATTTCTAAGTTTCTAATTATAATGCAATACCAGTGACAGCCTTTTGGCAAGTAACTAAAACCTGCTATGAGGTGTCTCCAGTTCTGTGTCAGGTTCTGCCAGAGGCTGATAATAGTTTTGGAGCAATCTTTTTATTGTAGATTTGTTGCAGAGTCTGTCACCTACAGTGGTTTGGAGAGCCCTGAATTCGTTCTTGTAGAGGCAGGTATTTTTTGACAGTGAGTTTCTTGAAATCAGAACAGACTAAAATCTGCAGTTACATTAGGCCCCACTTCCTATGAGTGGATGTCTGCATTTGTTGTAGTTGTTATAGGTTGTTATAGCACAGTCTGCATTGTTATAAACTAATTCACTTTCCATTGGAAGGTTCAACTCATGGAAGCCAGGAATTTTTTCACTGTGTTTTAGCCCTGTTGTGTGTGTTGGAGTGAGTGAGGTTCCTTTTAAGACAAAGAAATTACTCACATTGTCATTACTTTTCTGAAAAGATCCCACACCATTTATTTCTCACATTCCCATCTTCCTTCATCACTTACAGGCTTCATCTAATTTTTTGCCTCTTGGTATCTGAATTTTTTGTCTTTTCATTTGCCTTTTCATTTTAATCCTATGCTGATAATCTTTGGGGTAGCCCACGGCCACACTGTTGTATGGCTGAGCTAAGAAGGTCTTGTAACTCAAACAAGACCGGAAACAAGTATCCAGCTGACTCACAAACTGTGGTGGGGGGAATCACTGCTTCCTCCAGGATGCTGTTGTGGAACATTGTTATAGTAATGGCTTTAGCAATAACCACTTGGCTTCCCTCCAGTGGGACATGCATTCCTCCAGCAGCTTCTGTGCACAGCTGCTGTAGAATCACATGTGGGCTGCACACTGTTCAAGCCACAGGTCAGACAGTAGAGACCTAGTTTGGGATCAAGTTTTTCAAACTCTGGAATTTTACAGGAAGAGCAAAGGTGCTACACAAAAACTGCATCTTTTTTTTTTTTTTTTTTTAAAGAAAATAAGTCATATATCTTCATGCAATTTTATATCAAATAACTTTTGTTCATATATGTATTTCCAGGAATTTGTCAACGTGTCCCTGAATTCTAAAAAAGGTATAGTGTCATGTAATCTCACAGGTCTGTGGGACTCCACAGACTATTCTGTTGCCATTCGGTGTATGAATAATGAGTCAGCATTTTGGAGTGGATGGAGTGGAGAGAAAAACGGAAGTACAGAAGAAAAAGGTAAGCTGCCTACCTGTGAAAGCTTTCTTCTGCTATACTTCGAGGCATTAGGGTTTAGCAGGGAAAAATTGTGTTTCAGAGTTCAATTCCGATATTGAATTTAGAATCCTGTTACTTAAACAGAATATGTGTATTTTGTTTAAAGATAGAAAACTGAAAAACAGCAAGTATTGGGGATTTGAAAGGTGATTCAAACAGCATAGGCCTAAGAAGAAAACAAATGAGTAGACAGTGAAGAGAAGAAAACTTAAGAGTGTAGATGGAAGATTTAACAATGCAAAGTAAGATAGTAGCAGAAAAGTAGTGCAGCATGTATATTCAATGAAATAAATTTTAAGTAAAGAAATCAAAGTGCCAGTTATAAAACAAGACTAGAAAATCTCTTCTAGGACGCTCTAGAACTTAACAAATAGAAGCGATCAGGAGGAAACTTATGGAAAGAAGGAAGTACCTAATTAAGGGAAAAAAGGCTACTACAGAAGAGAAAACTTACTTTTAGTAAGTTTCTCTTAGACTCTATGTTTGAAACCTTTTGATTGTTTTCACCATATTAGAGAAACCTTTTGCTTGTTTTCACCATGTTAAACTGTCTCTTTAACATAGCTACAAATTGCAAGTTTGTTTTTTTTTTTGTCTTTAAATAGCTCCTCCCCGAAAAGTGGATTTGTGGAGGGTAATTGAGTCTTCACACTCATCTAGAAACAGATCTGTACATCTTATGTGGAAGGTATATACTTTTTTTGTGAATTGATAAGCATATTGGTATCCTGTAGCTGATGTTGTCTTTAAGTATTTTAGTGTTGTAGTGCATAAAATTTCCAGAGGTATTTGCTGTTATCAGAAAAAAAAACCTCACTGAACTAAATTAGAATTGAAAAGGCTTTTGTTTACTGAATGGTAGATGAATGGAGTTTTGTAATCTCTGTGAAAAGGGAGCATTTAATTGTGTTTGGATCATTCATTGAAAGTCCTTAAACTGCATTTAAATAATCCAGTTTACCAAACTGTGTTTAAATTCACTTTAATCTTCTAGTAAATTGTCCAGAGGCTCCTTGTATTTCAAATCTCAGCATTTGACTTTTGAAGTACATCAAGGAAATTGTCATGGCTGTCTGTTCTGAAGATGGGCCTAAAGAAAATACCTTGCTTTTCTAAATAAAGTATAACAGTTTTGTAATTTGATCTTTAATGTAGCATATATTTTTGCTTGTGCAAATAACACCGCAAAACACTTACTACTGTATATTTTTTTGTAACAGTCATTAAAAAGCTTTCCGCCTTCTGGGAGAATTCTAGGCTACAAAATACAGTATTTTCCAGAAAACAAGACTGCATGTAAAAGGACAAACAACTCTACTGATGAGAAAATCACCTTATTTTTAAATGAAGAGGCACATATAATATCTGTCACTGCCTATAACTCTGCTGGAAAGTCTCCTGAAGCTATTTTGAGGATTCCATCCACTGATGAAAAATGTAAGATTTCTCAATGTTATATTTTTCTCATTAATGAAAAAGTGATTTTCATATCTGTTTAAGTTCTGATACAGTGAAAGCAAAATTGTGCTAAGGACTCCTGTCACATGTATATCTTGTCATATTTTGCCATAATGAATCATATTTCTGCTATAGATAATTATTATAGGGATTTAGTTTTGAGATACAGTTGTTAAGATATGAATACTTTGGAATGTCATATTGAATTTCTGCTGTATTACTTTCTGAGGGTTTTTTGGTTGGTTTAGGTTTTTTCCTAACTTTGCAGCTCCAAAATAAATTTATGGAGTGCTACCCAGTTCTTTTGCATCCTTTTGTTAGCTCATAAGATTGGTTACCACAGGGCCCTATTGCAGAGTATTCAACAACATCATTCAAAGATATGATAAATAGAAGTCTCTAAGTTGTGTTAGTGGAAGGAGGGAGAGAAGCCTTGTGTTTATTCTCATTTCGTAAGCATTCACAGAGTTCCCATCCCACCCACTGCCAGCGGTGGAAAGCTAGTCTGCTCTAGCACAAGAGTTGCTCTTTGGCTCTTATGTTTAATTCTGATACTGCTTTGAGCCTTGTGTTGCAACATCCTGCTGCCAGCCATGATCTGACAGAGAGATTGTATTTGACACACTTGAATCACTTCTAACATCAGTTGTTCATGATGCAAGTGCAAGTGTCCGCCTGGAACTGCTCAATCAATTTCCATGTCTAATCAGAAAACTGGATATGTAGATTAAATGTAGTTTTGTCCTAGAGGTTGCTGACTACCTCCCTATCCACTTTTGCATCCCACCACAAAGGTTCTTCCGCCTTTTCCACTCTGTGGTGTGGTTTCCCCCCTACCAAATACATCTCTTTTTTTCTCTGCTTCATCAGGTCATTTTTGCCTCTGCTTTGCCAGGCTGGATTTTTTTCTCCAACTTTGATTACCTCTGTTCTGCAGACTGATGGTTCACCTTTGCTACAGTATCATTCCTGACCTTGCTGACTTGTTTTCCTATTCTATTGCCTTTGTCATCTTGATCAAAATTGCTTATGAGCTACTTCCAAAATTGGTAGTAACTTGGTTTATAAGGTTTTGCACACTGCAAAATTTGGGTTCTGAAAGAGAGACTTGCTCTTGACTTCTATATGTGTTTTTCAAGCTTTTGTGAAGACAGAATTGATGATATTTTCTGTTAAATTTTTAGCCTCTCAGATGATTGAAACAATGATAACCTCTACATTGAATGAAGAAGTGGTGGTGCAATGGAAGACCTCTGACCCAGAAACAACCACATATGTGGTTGAGTGGTATGAGGAATTGGAGACGGACCCTTTTGTTAGATCATGGCAATATGTGTCAAATTCTACAGAGTGGAAAAATAACAGAAGTATGTTTATCAGTTACAGCTGTAACAATGTACAGATGTACATGTATTTATAGGTAGATTGGAAAGAACAAACACAGATGAACTCATGCATCTTTCCTTGACCACTTTTGAACATAACAGTATGTTATGTTTAAAATGTAATAACACACTTTATTGAAATCTCTGCAGATAATGTAATAGCATTTTTTAGTCTTACAAATGTTCATGCAACATGCAAGGTAGTGTTTGCTCCTGTATAAGATTAGGCTACAGAACTGGTGTTAAAGCAGTTCTGTGGCTCTTGATCTTGTACCAGTAGGGAGGCCTGTGACTGATGTCACTGATGTGACTCATCTAGCAGAGAAATCTAGAACTATAAAAAAAAAAAAAAAAAAAAAATGGGGAAAGGTCATGCTCCTCTATGTTTTAAAGGGAGAACATCATAGCATCATAGTCCTCCATGGGCTGCAGGGGGACAGTGTGCTTCACCATGATCTTCACTACAGGCTGCAAAGGAATCTTTACATTCCCTGTTCCAGTGTGGATTCCCACCTATGGGAGACAGTCCTTGTTGAACTTCTCCAACTGTAGTTGGAGTTATTCAACTCCAGCGTGGCTGTAGTTATTCACAAACTGCTCCAGCATGGCTCCCCTGTGAGGTCACATTGTCCTTCAGGCATCTACCTGCTCCAGTGTGGAGTCCTCCACAAGTGGCAGGTGAATGGTCCACTTTATACACTGAGTACGATGTCACATGGTCTGAAATATCCCTCTGGTCACCTGTCCTGGCTGTGTCTGCTCCCAACCTCCCAGGCGCCCCCAGCCCCCTCAGCACCATGGCAGTACGAGAAGCAGAAAAGGCCTTGGCTCTGTGTGAGCTCTGCTCAGCAATAACAAAAACATCTCTGTATTGTCAACCCTGTGTTCAGCATAAATCCAAACCACAGCCCCCTGCCAGCCACTGGGAAGAAAATTAACTCTACCCCAGCAAAACCCAGCTGGATTAATGTATGTACAATGGCCATTACAAAAGGTGTAAGGGACTGAAAGAGCAGAAGAAAGCTGATATAATGCAGGGATCTGTTGATAGCCATTATTCTTGTTGACCAAGCTGCAGAGCTTGAGAGGAATGATTTAGGAAACTCTTTACACTGGTTTCATTCCAGGGAACATAAAGCTACAGATATGTCCTCTTGGAGTTGATGGGAGTAGTTGTAAGTAGTGGGTGCACCCTGTTGATTACTTGGCTCCTGGATTGTTCAGAGTTCAAAACTTCATTTCCAGAAACTGGAACTATGTCTTGAAACATAAAATTTTACTGGAGAGATGTCACTTGGGACAATTGTACCCTTGAGTCAGGCTGGTTAGAAGCAGATCTGCAGTTGGTATGACTAGAACATCAGCTCAGAAATAATACAATAATAGAATATTCTGAGTTCTAGGTGGCCCAGAAGAATCACTGAAGTCCAACTCCATGCACAGGACACTTCAAAAATCACACTATGTGTCACTATGTTTTGTCCAAATACTACTTGAACTTTACCAGGCTTGGTGCTGTAACCACTTCCCTGGGGAGCCTGTTCCAGTGCCCAGCCACACTCTGGGTGAAGAACCTTTTCCTGATACCCAACCTAAGCCTCCCTGAAACAGTTACTTGCCATTCCCTCAAGTCCTGTGTGTTAAGAGTGAGGGACCCCACTGCTTTTTGATCTGATGCATGAGACAAAGTTGTCTCCCACAGAGCAGTAAACATAAAGCTATGTGAAATCAAAAATACTACCTTCAAGTGTTTATACTGCTTATTTGAAAATAGAGACTTTCTCTAAAACTGTAGAGATTTTCAAGATGAATAAGTGGATTCATATTGAGTTGTATAATGCTGAAGTGTAATTACCCATTGAAACTATTTCTAGTGGAAAATGAGTCACAAACCATGTGCTCTTACAAGTACTACAATGAAAAAAGGTGTGTTAAAGCCAGTAATGAGCATTCAAATCGTTAATTTCATACTGCACTTGCTAGAGAGTTGAAGAAAAAAGTCGGTAACGGTATATTTAGAATTCCCTTGTGATTTAGTGTATTTTCATTGTATTGACATCAGATAGAGATTGTGTGTAAATATTCTTTTCTTTCATTTACAGAAAACTTCAAACCTTTTTTATGCTATAACATCTTAGTGTATCCTCTTTATGGAAATAACATAGCAGCTCCATCTTATGCACAAATCTATGCTCAAGAAAAAAGTAGGTATTTTAAAGTAACGTGTTGTGAAAGATGTCTTGTGTCTGTTTCTCAGGATGTATTATCTTTGAGTGATTTGGTACTATCGTTATTTGAAAAAGAGATTAAGATGGTGGAAAACTCCCCAGGTTTCTGGGTTCCTGATTTCTCTTCTGTTCAGTGACAAAATTGGTCTATAAGAAAGTATTTATCTTGTGATATGGGTACATTGCTGCTTGCACCCACTAATTTTTTCTGAAGTTTAAATATTGTACACAAAGCATTTGGAAAGAGTATAGCTACAAACAGGAAAAAAAATTTTAAACTAGCTATCCCTTCAATATTACAGCTCATTTAGATATACAATTATACTTGATTTTAATGCTTGATTACATTTGTCAGTCTTAATATATTGGGAAATTCTACTCATAAAATGGCTGGTTTGAAAAATCCACTTTTTGTTAAATTTTATAACAAAATATTTGCGGTCTTGTGCATAAGAAATGGTAAGAAGACAAGATGTTTATAATTAGATAGAAATTGTGGATGAAGTAGTGCTTTGTAGGGGAAGGGGTAAAGTTTCTTTATTTGTAGAAGTTTATTGTGAATTCAGTGATTTATACAACCAGCTAGAAGAATGTAGTTTACCAGTAATTTTAAGATTCCATGTGAAAATGTTGATTGGTGTGTGTGTATGTGCATAAGTACGTCCATGCAAATGTTCATGCACACATACTACAATGCACCACTAGAGAGTATTAATTACTGGGGGGAGGCAATGGAGTATTTTATGTTTGAGTAGTAATTACTAGCCCAGTCAGAACTGTGTTTTGAGTGCTTTCCTGTTTATAGGTAGCTATGACAACACTCAAGGTTGTTAGAGAACGGGAGGGAAGTTGAATTGTTTTAGAACTTCAACACAGAGAACTCTTTTTTCAAAGTTATGAACTATGTGTGTGATGTGGTATTCTGTAAGTAGAAGGGCTTTGTTTAGTGTGATGGGCAAGGCTGAGGATGCTGGGGGTGCTGGAGATGACACTTGAATCCCAGCTCAGCCAGAGACCTTCTGCAAAGGCAGTGGCTCTGCACCTGAGTCCACTCCCAAGTGCACAAACTATAATTTTCTCATGATCTCTCCCTGATGTTGTAACAATAGAGCCTTTTAATGATCACAAAATATTTAAATACAGTAACACCTAGAACTATGCAAATGCCAGAATAGATGAGAGGAAGTTTTATCAGAAGAATTCCTACCCTAAAAAAGAGAGTGAGAAAAGTTAAGGACTGTGTCAGAGCACTGAGGTTACGTACTTTCTCATGCCTATGTTTCCCCTAATGTTATTGGTATGTGTGAAATAACAGAGCTGGATAGCACTGTGGCACATTGACTATTTTACTACTTTTGCTTTTTACAATGCTTCTCTCTAGAGCCATCAGAAGGACCTGTGGCTGATACAGACATTCTGGGGAAAAATGAAGTTACAATAAAGTGGAATGAGATTTCAAAGGCTAAAAGAAATGGATTTATCACTAACTATACAATATTTTATAAACCTGAAGATGGAAAGGAATTGAGTAAGTATACATCAAACAATACTTCTAACAGGGTTACAGAATTTTCAATCTCTCTTCCATCTTGATGCACCTTTGAAGTCAATGGAAGAAGTCATGACAGGAGAAGAGGCACTAAAATATATTAGAGAACCATAGATTCTGTGTAAATTCCTAGATCAGGAGTGTTCAGTGAATTTATAAGTTTCATGCATGTCCTTGGAACGACATGCCTTCAGTTTCTGGAAAAGTATGGTGAAAATATTTTTATTGTCAGTTTTATATTAAAAGCAAATTTGGAAATAACAGTAAAGTAAGCTGCCAAGAAATAGTTTCTTTGGACATTATTTTAGATCATTTTCTTCAGATGTGTTTAATTTTCTATGCTTGCCATTGCTTTCCTGGTCTAGAGGCTGATAGCATAAATTTGAGCATACTCCGCTGCCTCAGGAATAGTGTCCATACAATCTGGTAGTGTAATGGTATCTGTTCAAAACTTCTTTAGTTTAAATCTCAGCAGAAGCTTTCATGAGAAGTGTTTGGGTGACCTAAACTTTTCTTCCTATATAGCTTGTGAAGAAAGCTGTTGGGTCAGTCAGTGCTTCAGAATTGGTTTTTTCCCTCCCTTTTTTAGACATCATTGTTATAAGGCACCTAACACAATCTCTTTTGCCAAGTTTGCAGACTTACAAATCTTGTGATGGTTGTTTCTTATGGCTTTCCAGTTCAGACCCAGGGTGTCGCTCTATTAGGAACGGCTGGGAATGAACGACACAGACTCTCTAGGGAATCAATCAGGAGAATGTCTCTAGTTTATTACTTCAGGTTTGTTTTATAGACTGGTATGTGGAAAGTACAGAAAGGAAACTCCCATTGGTTAGCAAATCACTACATTACCATCATTGGTCAGTGGTGCACACTACCCCCTGACTTTCTCCTGCAAAGAAAACAAGAGACAGACAACAACACCTGCAAGGCTGTTCCCTGTCTCTGAGGATTGTTTGGAATCCTCCCATGAATTTCTCAGGCTAGCTTCTCAGGCAGGACTGAGAGAGCTATGCAGCCTGTAATTTCTACAGGCTCTCTCTTTCATAGTTAGACAGAGTCCACAACTCATCTTTTTCGTTTAGGAAAAAAAAAAATAAAAGGCACGGTGTTTGTGATCTCCTGCTGGGCTCTTGCAGGAAAGAGAACAAACACAGCACAAGAGGTTTCTTTTACCAGAATGGATGCCGATTTAGAATTTTGGTTTATGTTTTGGTGTTTAAGAATTGTTTTCTTTGCAAGGACTTGATGGTTGATTTTAATACAACTAATTTAGTGAACTAACACACACACCATATAAAACACTGTTAGTCTGTTCAAACTGACAGTCTAACTTGTCGATAGAGAAGTTTTAAAGAACACTAAAGTGACAAGTTTACTTTACTTATATCTAGACTTAGTGAAACTCTACTTAATTCTACTATGCAAAATCTATAAATTTTTTACAGATCAATTAACAGTGTTGGGAAGCTGTTTGCATAGTAGAGATGGTAGTTTTGTCAGGATCAGGCTGCTGTTGTTGTTAACTGGTTTGAAGTTTGCATGTTCGGTAGAAAGTTGGTTTAGTTGTTGGCTGCTGTTCGCTGGGGTTTTTTTGATTGGATTGTGTTGAATGTGTCAGTATTGAGTCTAAGGGCTACTTTGGGGGCCCGTCAGCAAACTTGAAAGTAGCTTGGGAACTCAGGGAGGTCCAGGGAACCCGAAGCTACTATCTCCTCGCAGCTGGTTCTCAGCTCTGCGAACATAAGACTCAAAAGGCAGAAGGTGAAACTTGGGTTCGCAGGAGAGGAATTTGGTAGCACGGGGCCGGCAGAACCCGGCCCGACGCCCGCAGCACTCGTTTCTACGCTTCACGAATCTGGCGCGGGGGTGGCGAGGTTCGCACGTGCGCGGGTGAGCGTGGGGGAGTGCGGGTTCGCGCATGCGCGGATCGCGTGGGTGAGCGCGGGGGCGCTTGCCGCTCCCCCCCTGCCGCTTCTCTGCCAGCACTTCGGATGGGCGCGGGGTGGCGATTTCCCCCCCGCGGCGCTGGCAGGCCCCGCGGGTGGCTGTGAGGGCACTGCCCCCCCGCCGCGTATGCGGCGGGGTTTGCTGGTTTTGCTGCAGGCCCGGCTCCGGCTCCAGAGCTAGGTTCGGGCTCGGCTTTCACGGGGTTCTCGCGGCCGGCGGTGGCGGGCAGTGGCGCCCCAGACTCACTTCTTCCTCTCTCTTTTCCATCTCCTTTCTCGTTTTCTTCTCGCCGCTGCTGCCGCCGCCGCTGTGGCTCTGCGGGCGGTGGCAGCGCGTCTGTGTGCTCGGGTTTTTTGGCGGGGCCCCGCGCGCTGGGCGCGGGGGAGCCGAGCGCTGACTCTCTCCCGCCCCGCTGCGCTGGCGGGCTGCAGAGGGGGCGTCCGCGCCTCCGCCCGCGGCACAGAAGAAAGAAGCTCGGAGAGCGCGGAGGGGCTGGAGAAAGGAGGTTCTGCAGCCGCCCGCGGTGACGCTCTTGGCGCCGGCGGAGGCTCTGCGAAGGGCACAGGCGGAGACAGCTCTCTCGGCGCCAGTGGCGGCAGTGCCCGCGGCACCGGTGAAGGTGCTATAGAGGGTGCAGGCGGAGCCGCGCGATCTCTGCTCTTCCGCCACTTTTCCGTTGGCAAAGCCCACGCACCCAGCTCTGCGGGTGACGGGCACCCAAACTTTTCTGGAGAGGGAGATCTCTGGCGCACAGACTGCTCCTGCCTGCGGCTAAAGTCTTCTAAGGGTCCGGGCAGAGCCGAGGGAGCGCTACGCTGCTCATTCACGGTCTCATTTCCCAGTTTCTCATCTTGTACAAAGGAGGCACTCCTGGCATCTAAGTCTTCTATCCTGGCCTCACTGTTCTCAGACTGGCACCGTTCCAGTGCTTTAAAAATCACGCTCCAGGTTGTTGCTAAGCTGCACGCAGTGGTATTTTCCGCAGCTAGCTCAGTCCATAAGTGGTCTCCTACTGATAGCCAAATCTCAAGGTTAAATGCATTATCTGCAGTCATAGTAAGACCTTGCGCTTTTACCCACTGGAACAAAGTGCGCATAGCTTCTTCAGGAATACTGAGTCCCATGCGCGGCAGGGCGTCCTGCCACGCAGAGTAGATAAGCTGTTCATTAGCTGAAATACAGTTCCCCATTATGAGAACTGTTTATCTTGACGGCTTCGCAAATGCAATGATGCGGACACTATCGGCTTAAACCCGGGATTTTGAGCTCTGCTTCGCCAAGATAAGCCGTTCCAAGCCCACTCACTGGCAGGTCTCCACTAGCCCATTGGTTAAATACCAACTCTCTCTAGGAGAGCCCGGGAGAATTTCACTGACCCGTCTAGGGGGAAGGGCTGGCCCGCTGTCTGCACTCCCTCAGAGGTTCAGCAGATGCACATCACGTCAGGGTCACCAGATGTTGCTCTATTAGGAACGGCTGGGAATGAACGACACAGACTCTCTAGGGAATCAATCAGGAGAATGTCTCTAGTTTATTACTTCAGGTTTGTTTTATAGACTGGTATGTGGAAAGTACAGAAAGGAAACTCCCATTGGTTAGCAAATCACTACATTACCATCATTGGTCAGTGGTGCACACTACCCCTGACTTTCTCCTGCAAAGAAAACAAGAGACAGACAACAACACCTGCAAGGCTGTTCCCTGTCTCTGAGGATTGTTTGGAATCCTCCCATGAATTTTTCAGGCTAGCTTCTCAGGCAGGACTGAGAGAGCTATGCAGCCTGTAATTTCTACAGGCTCTCTCTTTCAGAGTTAGACACAGAGTCTACACCAGGGCAAGAATATTCCTGGTAATTTTTAAGTGTGAGAGAGAAAGCTAATTATTTCTGTCAGATTTAGTCACCTGCACACAGTTTTTTCTACTGTGTTGGTTTCTGAGTAATTTAATCTTGACTGCTTTGTGCAGGGTCATCTGTGAGATAAGGGGGTCTCATGTTACAGAGCTTTATTTCTCCTTATTACTTTAATGTAAAGCAGGCTGTGTCCTTTTTAGGATTTTTTTAGGATTTTCTTTAGAATACTAATATACTAAAATACTAATGCAAGGGAGTTAAATTTAAATAGCAAAAAGTGCTGTACTGATGTTTTTTGACACTTCTCTGATGTCACGTGTTCTTGATAATAGTAGAATGTGGGGATGTGTGCCAAGGTGACTTCACTGATGGCCTTTTAACATTAGAACTTCACTTTCCCACCCTTAAGTGAAACTCAGTTTATTTAACTTTGGACATATTGCAGCGTAACTATTTCCTGGGTGTTTCTTTATAGAACTGACTGAGGAAATGAGTTTCCTTTGACTTTGTGCACCAGAAAGTGTTTTAGTGACTGTAATTTCTTACATGAAGATGCATTTGGTACTGTTAGACATAGGATGACAGGATACATGCCCTGCTTAAAAAAAATCTACAGGTGAAGCACATTACATTAATTTCAGTACAAACTGCAGTATTGGAAATACTGAGTTCTATTCATAAAAGCATTTTGAAACTTGGAAAAACATTCTTGTTTATTTTGGCTTTCCTTTGATTTATTGGGGTGGTATCCCAGTGCTGATAAATGACATTTTTTTTGATGATCAGTTTCTAACTGTGTGTAGTCGAAATATAGTTAAATTTCACAAGCTACATAAACTATTTGAAGTTCTTAATTTCAGAGCCAACTATTTTGAGGAAATAAAGTTCTCAAAGTGCTAATTTCAGTGATAAACTGCAGGAGATCATCATTCACCTATCTTTAATAGTATCAAAAATATTTGTATTTATTTTTAAAAGCAAATAGGTAATGGTTCAGGTTTTTGCCTCAAGCTTTTAATGGTGCTGATAAATATCGTTTAGTAATTTAAGGTTTGTCTTTTAAAGGACTGGTAAGGTTGCTTTGTATTTCAAATCACCTTTAAAATAGTTTGTGATCTGTAATTGTAGAAGTTGCTGAATAAGTGTATAGTTCCCTGATGTAGCACTACTTTTGTGTATTTACTGACATAAGTCTTCTCCTAAAAAGATGAAACGGTGAACTCTGACACTCTGCAATACAGACTGAAGTCCTTACAGGCTAATACACAATATACTGTTCGGATCATGGCAAGCAACAAAGCTGGTGGGACCATTGGAGAGCCAAGAGCTTTCAAGACTTTGAAATTGGGTGAGTAATAAGCCAGGTTAATTATTACTGTTTTTAAGAATGGGCTTGGAAGTAAGAAATACAGGACATTGTTTTTTAGGCATTTGTTAACTTCTGTTTGTTTTTTAAGTAGTGTTGAGTGAAACAAGGAAGAATTGGCAGCTGTAGTTGAATTTAACTTAATTTCAGTGACAATCTCACAGACTAAAAAACCCCTCAGAATGAGAAGTCAACCCCAAAAGTCTTTATTTACTTGTCAGGAAAGCTGTGGAGTACTGTGGTTGTTTGTGGAAGCAGCAATGTATATGCTATTAACTATGGGATGGGATGTCTAACAGTTGATTAAAAAGTAGACTTTTTCATCTGAGAGATTTACAATAACCATACATTGTGTTGCACCTATTCTGGTATATAAATTTAACTGATAAATGGGTGCAGAGGTGTTGTGGCCAGTGGGTGTGTAGGGAAATACCTTTTCCTATCCCTTACTATTTGTCTAAGCCAGATTTGACAGGGAGGTTGGTATAATGGCAGTGGATCAGAAGTTCAGACATTTCCTCATTTCAACTTCTCAGTTGAAGAATATTTTCAGCACATTCCTAAATGCCTCTGGTGCTCTGGTTCTTGGAAACTAGCTCAGAAATCTGAGCAGTGTTTCAGTCAGAGTAACTAATTTTTTTTTTTTTTTGTGATTTATATCTATTTCCTGCACCTAATTTGCAATTTATCTTTTTGTAGCTGGTAAGCTGGTAGAAGTAGCACTGCCTGGCAGATTTAGGTGAGCATAAAATAACAGGTGACCAAGAGGTAGTGGAGTCTTCATCCTAGATTGCTTTCAAAGGTTGGCATGGTATGACCTTAAGCAGCCTGATCTAGTTTTAAAGTTGCATAAAGTGATCTACAGATATCCTTTCCAATCTAAATTACTGTGTGATTCTGTTAAAAAAAAGAAATTTTAAAATGTGATAAATCTGTTCCTAGAGCATCTTGGAAAGTCTCATCATGACCTGGTTTTCTGGCTCAGTAGCTGTGGCTTGTTGGATTCTAAATACTCATATTTTGACTCAACTAGAATGGGTATCCTACAGTATTCTGAGTAATTTTGGCTAGTTTTGACAGAGCTCTTTAGAATTGTGCTAATTAAGTGACTTGGCTATTAAAAACTGTCTTAAGGGAATACCTGAAGAAATGACAATGTGTACTGATTGGTTTTTTTCTTTTATTTCTTTGCTTTTGTCTAAAGATAAAGATGATGTCATTTTTATTGCCATACCTGTTGGGATAAGCATGTTGTGTCTGATAGGCCTTTGGATAACATGTGTTTTGAAAAAACATGCGTGAGTATATTTTCTGCTGTCTAAAACTGAATGCAGCCACTTAAAATTAACTTGTAAAATGGAAATGTTTATTTCTTTTTTTAAATGCCTTTGTTGTTTTCAAAACCAATGTCAAAATAGAAAACAAACAATTGAAGTAACAAATAAATAAGTGGTCAGGTTATACTTTGACTGCAGTTTATGTGCTAAGTTAAAAAATAAGGATTAATTTTAGAAAGTTTAGTCAATTGAAACAAAATAAATGAGAGAAACAGATTAACATATCACCTACATCAGTTAATGGAAAATGCTACATACATACCATTTGCAGTTCTGTGTTTATTTAAATGAGGGGAGCAAACTTTAACTCAGTTTCTGAAAAAATTAATAATGCCAAGAAATAAAGCTTTCTAGATACTTTTAATATGCTAAGATGGTACTAGAATATATTTCATATAGCCCCTATTGCTTATGTTACTTATACCAATATGACTTTTATTAGTTTGTGATGCCTCCCTTGAGCAGCAAAGGAGTAAGGAAAAAAAACCTAGAAACTACATTGTGTAAAGATATTGGGATGCTTGATCCTTGATTATGGATCTGAATCTGTACATGATTCATAATCCTTTCATCTGCTATCATGGATGTCCCCATGGATTTTAAATTTTTTTCTCGGAGCATGGGGATCCAGTAACATTCAAAAGATGACTGTGAGGTTTTTTAAAATCAGCTAATAAGTAGAACTGAAGCAATAATTTCCCTTTTACATTTTCATCTATGTTGAGTATACTGAATTTTTACAATCATAAAACCTGATTTTTTTTATTCTGAAGAATACTTTGAGATGCAGTAGAATGTTTACATTCTTGTGAAGATAAAATTGCCATATGAAAAGTCAAGCTAAGGACTGGTTTTCATTCCCTTACCTTTCTACCCAGTGTCAATGAGTGATTCAACAACTGAGTATCATTCATGTGCTGTTGATTTAGGAACTCAGTGCAGCTCTAATATGGTGTAGTGCTAGGGACACTTTTCACCTGAAGTGGCTTTTCACTGAGGAAACACTCTGAAAAATGATCACAACAAAATTTGTATACTGTCTTATTTTGGCATGGTCTTATTTTATATACTATTTAATTGAGTGACATAATAATATATATAATTATACATATATACATAATATGTAGAATAATAAAAAATGGCTTTTGTAAATTAATAGATTTTTTGCAGTTTCTGTGTAACCTCTGAGGTCTTGTTGGGATCTTTTGTAATAAAAATGGGAAAACAATTTTATTGAAAAGCATTGTGTTGATATAGAAAAGACTTCCTTTGTGAAAGTTTGATACTTTAGCAGTAATTGGAATTTCTGGTAACTTGCTTATTTTATTTTTAATAATATATTTCTTTCATAATATGGCTAAAATTACTTTCTCAATTATAGGTTTAAAAAAGTTTGCTGGCCTGATATACCAAATCCTGAAGAGAGCCTTGCAGTTGAATGGCCTCTTGCTTCATCTATGGTAATAGTTGGAATTTTATGTATTAAAGAAGGGATCAAATGGAGATAAAATAAATCCTTTTCTGGCAGTCATTTTATGAATCAAACCCCCCTCTCACCTTTATTAAATTCCATTCTTCTTTTCAAGTGCTACAGAATGCTCTTTGTAGTATTCCAAAACAAGAGAGAATATACATCTTGATGAAGTATGTTCATCTGATTCTTACAGGATATTTAGAAATAATGTTTTGAAGTGACAGTATGGTTGTGGACATTGTTCATTTAATAAAGTAAATTAAATTTGCATGGGCTGATGAGTCTACTAAGTCAGGTTTCCACATCTGCATACCTCCTCCCTTGTCCTCAAAAATGTATTGCAACATATAGTAAGATTTGGTATATGGTTGTATTAACAGTTATTTTTATTTTTTGAATATTAATTCCTTATTAAAATTTTGATGTTTATTTGAATGGAGTGGAGTTGATCAGGTATATACAGAAAGTGTAATTTGTGGATAATGGGATTTAAATTTTTTTCTCAAAAATGTCTGGTTAGACTAGAAAAGATGGACACAATCCAAACCTGATTCTGAGCCTTCAGTGAAATTCATTATTTCATTAAGCACAGAAAACCTAATATGAAATTGTTTAGCAAATGGACAGAATAACATTGCCTTTTTTAGTACTCATTCACACATGTAACTGCATCCCATCTGAAATGCACGTGAGCTCTTTACTAGTGCAAGTCTGAAATTTCAAGTGAAACAGAGCCCAAATAGCAATAATTTATTTATTAAAAAATGACCTGATGCATTATCTATCCGTTTATAACTCTCCAATTTATCTCTTTGTACTGACAGAATAATTCATTTTTGAAGAGAGTGTCGTCTCAGACTAAAACTGTAGACTACGAAGACATAAATGTTTTGGAATATTGTTTTCCTGAAGAAGGTCAGGAAGAATCACTACTAATAAATTATGAAAGCCATGTTTCTGAATTTACTGATATTAATACAAAAGGCATAACTAACAGAGATGAAAAGATACTTCATAATGAAGAGGATGAAGCTGCTAATTGTTTTTCCCCATCTATGCCTTACGTAATTGCTGATCAATTTACCAGAAGTCAAATGCATTCAGCTTTGATACCAGTGAAGGAAGTCCAACCCATAGAAATGGTGGCAAATGATTTGTGTGGATCCCAACAGAATCCAATTAAAAATGAAGAAAATGATGTTGAAGAAGTTTTAAAGCTGGAAGATTTCAGTGAAAAAGCACTATTCAATCCATACCTTAAAAATTCAGTTAAAGCAAGGGAATTTCTTGTTTCTGAGAGCTTGCCAGAGCACAGTATGGATGAATGCAAAAGCCAGTCAAGTGTCTTACCTCCTTTTCAACCAAAAGTTCCAGGACAGTCCTACATAACGCTGGACATGTTCAGGCTGGCCAAAGCTCAGTAGCGTGAGAAAACTCCATTGTAAAATCATCCTGTGAGATATCCCTTGGCACTCCTGCTCATAGGCATTCATATCTAACGTGGCTGATCTCAATTGATTTGGATGGTAACACCCTTTTCCTTCAAATAGCTGTGAAGTAGTTTTTTAGACTGTGTGTGTACACATCAGAGTTCCCTTTCAAACTGGATTTTTGGGGGTTTTGTTGGTTTTTTGTTTTGGTTTGTGTGTTTGTTTTTTTTTTTTAACCAGGCATGCCAGTAGTGAGGCACAAGAAATAGCTTTTGTTATTTCTTGGTAGTTCTCCTGTATCAGCGTGCTAAAGCAAACTGCAGGAGCATCCATCATTACAAGCAGCTCATCTCTTTCTCACAACACAACCAGTTCCCAAGGCTCAGCTCTGATGGGGAAGCACGGGCGGAATTGAACAGTGTCAGAATCTGCCAAATCCTTCCTTCGGTTACATGGAGCAGAACTACTTTCCTTTTCTTATTTTCCTTGTTTGTTTTTTATCTGATTTTATATATCATGTTTCTCTTGCTTTACAAATATTTTCTAGATTTCAGTAGTTGTCTTTTTTCATCATGACTCTTGAATTAATAGTTTGGCCTTTCTTGTCTTTAATGAGAGTATATTTGCTATGTTATCTGCATTTTGGAAAATGTGTTATGTTGCCTCCTTTCCTTTCTCATGTTTTTAATAGTCCTCAGCATTTTGTGCTGTTTTTGTGTCTCCTGTTTGTTTCCTGCTTTCTAAAACTGCTTACTGAAGGATAACTTCTTATCTTCTTGTTCCTTTGCTTCTGTTTCAATTTAAAACTGCATTTCCCAGTTGAGGTTTTGATATTTTGAACTGAAAAAAAAAGTCAACTAAATATGTCATCTTGTGTTAAAATAAGCACTGAGTTAGGAAGTTGTTCTTCAAGGAGGTAATGAAAAGACACTAAGTCTATAAAATCTTCCCAGATTTAGGATTAAATCAATTACCATGTATTTACATTTACCGTGTTGCATCCACAAGGTATTTCTACATGAGGATATAACTTTTGTCATTTGTTTTATGATTTTGTTAAGCCATAAATGGAATTGTAGTTTCCATTTTACAAATCAGCAATTAAGTAGTAAAACACTCAATCACACTAATTTTTTAACAAGAAGGAGGCTATTATTGTAAAACTCTTACTGAAATACTCTGCTAAATAACAGGTTTAAAAAGGTGGCGAGTCCAAATAAATTGTATTTGAAAAGAGTGTTCAGTATGTCACATATGGGAGATATAGTAATTTTAAGACTTTGAATTATTTTTACAGTATTTAGGGGCTTGATGTCTTTAGTCTTGTTTGCACAAGATTGTTGTTTGCGCATCTACAGGTTTCTTCTGGAGTAAAAAAGATACAGGAGTTATGGGGATAGAAAAATGAGAGACAAATGTGAATAGGATTAGAAAGCCTTTCCTTTCTGTGCAGGAGGAGGAGCAGAAGAATGGAAAATATATTGTAAACATGAATGAGGAGGCTGAGCCTTTCCCTGGATACAGTGGCTATTACTTGCATTGTTTTGGGGAAAACAGTATAAAGTTTTGCATTTATGATCTTTTTCTATAGTATGGAAGCTGCTTTAACTTAGAACAATATTCCTCTAGTTGCCAAGAAAGGATGGGGAAACAATTTCTGCAAATGTTTCTTATCCAGCAGCATTGATTTCCACCTCTCATGTTTGTTGGATCACTTTCTGAACCATGGTGCTCCAAGATGAAATACATATATGTTTGCTTTTGTAAACCCTTGCTTACTTAGGTAAGTCAAACTCTGGAGTTAGGACAAAGCTTTGGTTAGGTCAGTGCTTTTTCTGCTGCTTCAGTTGTTTCTATACTTCTCACTCACAGCTACCTTGTTGTATCCCTGGGCCCAGAACTCACCAATTCTATCACAGCATTTTTTTCCCTTAAATCTCAGTGTTTGTTTTAATATCACAATATATAAAAATAAACACATGCAGAGATATTTTTGACCTTTCTAGGAAGTGTTTAGCAGTTGTATGAAATTCTGCATATTCTGAATCGCATGTTTTAAACAGGTAAAATGTGAAAATAATGCAACCTTTATTGCTGGGTGGCTTGGGTAGGTTATCCTTGTAACAGTTCTTAGGTTCTGGAGGGTGAGTATATCCTTCTTTTTTACCCTACTTTATTTCCTTCCCTATTGATACATTGTGCTTTCCTCTCCTCATTTTTCTGCTTCCCCTCCCCATTATTTCTTCAGAAAAAACAAAATGCTAGAAGTGGGCTCAATACATTCCAGAAAGCAAGGTTGTCTTTTGCGCATGCTTTGAAATGAAAGCTTTGTGCACTTGGTTTGTTTTGCACTGGGAATTTTACTCTTTCTGACATTTTGCAATTTGTCTTTCAAACTAACACTGTGAAGCATTAAAAAATTAAAACTGAGAAAACGTGTAAAATTTTTTTTATTGATTTATCCTAAATGCACCATTTAGACATTTTAGATTTTCTTATTCACATAGAGTAAGTCTCACTTTGGGCTGCTGTTTATAGGGTCACAAGAGTGGGCTTTAGTCCTAGTAATTTTTTACAGCTGCAATTTGCGCTGGTAACTTTCTTTGAATGTTCAACAACAAAAATATTATTCCATTTGGGTTGTTATTCAGGCAAGAAAAGTAAGTTTCCAGATCAGCTTGTTAATGAAACATGTACTTATTAGACAGCACTAATTCCTGTGAGCAGACAGTGGTCTGAAAAAATCAAGAGGAGCTCAGCCCAGGCACTGTTTGTCAAGGACTAATGAGCATTTCTCAGATTATGGTGGTGCTGGTGCGGGAGTGTGGGATGCACCACCACAATCCACCCCATGACTAAAGTCAGCTTCTCTGGGCATGCTGCCCCAGGCAGCTCTACAGCTTTGGGACAGAATGGCTGGAACGCTGCCCTGTGAAAAAGGACCTGGGGGTACTGGTGACACAGCTGAACATGAGCCAGGCTGTGCCCAGGTGGCCAAGAAGGCCAATGGCATCCTGGCCTGGCTCAGCAATAGTGTGGCCAGCAGGAGCAGGGCAGGGATTGTCCCCCTGTCCTGGGCACTGGTGAGGCCACACCTGGAGTGCTGTGTCCAGTTCTGGGCCCTGACTGCAGGAAAGACACTGAGGGGCTGGAGTGAGTCCAGAGAAGGGCAGGGGAGCTGGGGCAGGGTCTGGAGCACAAGTGCTGTGAGGAGCAGCTGAGGGAGCTGGGGGTGTTTAGTCTGGAGAAAAGGAGGCTCAGGGGTGACCTTATCACTCTCCACAACTGCCTGAAAAGAGAGTGTGGCCAGGTGGGGTTGGCCTCTTCTTCCAAGTAACTAGTGTTAGGATAAGAGGAAATGGCCTCAAGTTGTGATAGCTAGGGTTTAGACTGGATGTTAGGAAAAACTTCACCAAAAGGCTTGTCAAGCACGGGGCCAGGCTGCCCAGGGAAGTGTTGAAGTCACCAGCCTGGGGGTATTTAAAAGATATGTGGATGTGGCTCTTGGGTGCACAGTTAAGTGGTGAACTTGGCAGCGCTGGTTAACAGTTGGACTCTATGATCTTACAGGTATCTTCCTTCCAACCTAAAGAAATCTGTGATTATACAGGGCACATTTAAAGACATAATCCACTTTATTGATACATTTTCCCCCAGGGCAGAAAGGAGCTGAAATCTGATCAGACTTTTTGTAGGTGCACCCATGCATACCATTCCTAAACAAAAAGAATGTTAGAATTACCTCTGTGCTTTTCTAACCTACCCAACACACTAATTTCTTGCTTGTTCAGAGCTTCTTTACAGCTAGTTGTCCATTACTTGTATTAGTATTTGATCTCCCCTCCAACTTCTTGTCTCCCTCAATGGTTGTTAGACCTTACATGAGGAGCTGTTGAGCTGCCATGTATTATTCATCCTTCCTGTGAGAAGAATATGTTACACATGCACAGTTAAGGTAAGTTGAAATGCACTCTCTTTCTCTAGTGTTTGCAGAAGCAGAATACCTCCAGGTGTAGACTTTTACCAAAAGGAGATGGCTTGGCCCTGTCACTGCTGCAAGGTGATATAGCTTCATCAGAAGTGATGCAGTTGTGCAGAAATAAACATATATCATGTGCATATATGCATCTATGTAACTACAGATTCCTTTGGGAAATGCCTGTTGAAGTGCTTGTGTATACCTGAGCATATGCATCTGTGCACATGCCTGAACTCAGACACATGCATACATGGGGTGTCTTTATTAATGTAGTTTGTGCAAGAGTACCCACAGAGAAGGAAGTTGTTTATGTGATTTATATTGTTGCATAGTGTCATTCACCAGCACAGATGGCATTGCAGGCTGCTTCACTGCTGGGATGTTTTGCATTGTGCATGGACTCTAGTGTAAGAGCCCACAAGGTCCTGGCCCTTGACCAGAAACCCTAGCCCACATTTGTGCTCTATCTGTGCACTGTATTTTTGCTTTTAGATTGATGTGCCTGGTTTCTGAGTTTCCTGTGTGAGGAGGTGCTTGGCTCCCTCCATTCACAATTCAGTGCAAAACAGCACTCAGTCTGGATGCTCAGGAAGCTTTGGACACATGGAGGCTCAAGTCCAGAGCTACAGGGTAGGAGTGTCACCCATTGCTCCCATGATACAGGTAATTGCTCAGATCAATAGTAAGACAGTAACTTGATGCCTTGTGATTGCAGCAGTGCTAGGCAAGGCATCTCTCAGGGATAAATTGAGTAGATCTGTGCAATGACACAACGCCCTTAGGTTATTAATACTGGGCTAGGTATCATACATTTTAAAATGACACTGAAAGGCTGGGCAGAACAAATGTCAGAGCCCACGTTCTGTGCAGCCTCAGATGAGCCATGGTGCACACATTATGATGTGGTCGTGAAAGTGAGGTTTGGTCTGGTGGTTCTTTGTAGCTGAATGGTACCAAATCCTTTGGCTTTACATTGTCGGGGATTAGAAATATTACAAGAAAAGATAATGAGTCAACTGAAGTTCTGCCTCAGAGAAATAACAGATTTTAATTTTGATCGCTCCCTCAATGAGTTAGAGACTTCTGTTATAGCAGGGGTTTCATGTATTGGGTTGTAAGATTTTAGCTTTGCTCATCTAGATGTTAAAATACAAAAAACCAAAGATTCAAAGGTGCAATGTTTGATGTAGCAAGCAGTGCAATTCTAAATCTCAGTGGTCTCACAAAACAGTGTTTTGAATAAAAAAATCATGCTTTTTAGGATTATAAGAGGTAATTTGTGAATACTTATTGAATAGCTTTATCTTTTGCTAGTAACTCTTCTGAAACAGTCAGGATACCCTGCTAAATGTCACTCGACAATAACATAGAGGTTATATACCATAAATTATTTAAGGCTATATTAAAGCTTCTTTTAAACAGATGAAATGGATACTAATTTAAATTAATATCTGAGTTGCTTTGCTCTTGTATCAATCTGCTGCAAAGATAATGGAAGTTTTGTTCTACTGCTCTGTGTTAATGTCTGGTATACTGATAACAGGCAGCAAGGCATATTCTCATTGCAGGTGAGTCTTGAGCCCATAAGAGCATGAGCTTATTGCAAGTACAGGTAGTTGTTAATTGCAACCTCTTCTCTCTCCTGGCACAACAGAAGTAAAATACACAGTGATCTTATGGTGTTTCTCTAGAAGGGCTGGAAAATGTGCTACTCTTGCCTCCTTGCATAACTAAAGGAATTTATATGTCTTGTGAACAAAGGATGACATTTGTAAACAGAGCTGACAAAAAATCATTAAGCACTGTTTTTGTGGCATGACCTGTTCTTAGTCATACTGTTTATTAGATGTATTTATTCCAAAATACTATTTGTACCCTTCCCACATACATGTTGTGTTTTGCAGTCTGAGAATTTATGAAGAAGGCTCTGAGAAAATAGTGTCAATTTAATCTGTTATGTCTTTCTTTCTTCCACTTTGCAGAATTTTTTTTTGTCAGTATTTGACAAAAATGTAATTATTCTACTGAACTTGGACTAGTTTGCCTGCTCTTTCACTGGGCTTTCTAATGATTATTTTGTTTGCCTTTTTTCTCATGAGTAAATTGTCATTTTACTTCTGCCCCACTGTTTAATTAAGAACTATCTTAATAGCTAAATACAAATTAATTAATACTAATCTAAATACCAATTAAGAACTATCTAAATATCTAAAACTGTTTTATTTTGGTCTCTTGAACTCAGAACATGAATATGAAGATTTACAATCAAAAAATGGGAACAGATGTTTGACTAACACATCCTTCTGTGAATTGTGATTTTAGCAATATATTGGTTTTCAAGAATATCAAAACATTAATAGAAACAGATGTGCATATTTATGCTGTAGATTTATCCCATCGGTATCCTAACAAGATACTTGAAAAGTAAACAGCATGATTATTTGGTGCTGCCTGTGTATAGCAGACTGGAGGAAAGATTAATGGCTCGAAACAACTGAAGTGTGTGTTCAGAGCAGGAAACAGGGCAAGTTCTGGGTAGGTGGTGCAGCCACTGCTTCACCCCTCACCCACTGGAGCCCCTGGCCGAGCCCCAAAGTGGCTACCAAGCCACTGCCCCCCAAGCCCTCTGTCCCACAGCTTCCTTTTCTCAAAATCTGTGTTACTTAAAACTGGAATTTCCTAAGTGAGTGCTTTGTGAAGTGCTTTACTTTAATTGTGTGTTGCTTTAAAATTTGCCAAGTACTTTATTCTCTAATGTTTGCAAATAAAAGCTTGCTATTCAGCCTCCTGAGAAGTTTGTTGTCTTCTGAGGGTGTTGAAATACCACAGCCCTTTCAAACACTTGCTGAGTGAGGTTGGGGTGTACCACCATTCCTGTGCTATACTTCTTCAGCTCTTAAAAGAGACAAGTGTAGAAAGTGCTCTCACCCAACAGAAAGGGGCACAGTTTCAAGCCAATCATGTATCTGACTTTACCTGAGAGGTTAAAACTCCAGGGTGCAGGCTGTCCTGAGATACCCCAACTACAGATTAGAGATATCCTTTCCCAGGGTCCTGAATTACTCAGGTTATTCAAGTGGGCTTTGGGGGCATGGAGGAGGGTGGAGGGTTAGCCCACAACTCATATGCTGGGGGATGAGGATTCTGTTTGAACAGAACATCTAAGGCTGCACTGGGCTTGTTTCCCAATTCAAGCTGTCAAAGAAACTAGGCTATAATAGGGTGGTTTATATTTTAAAAATGCTGCTTTGACATTGACTAGTCCTATTGAGTAGTGAGATTAAGACTTTTGAGTTGGAATGGCTCTACTGATATCTTTCTCAGCCTCTTATGTTGCCTTGATTTCCAGGCACTGCTCAGCCCCACACTGATGAGTAGCAAGTCTGCTGAGCCAACTAGTATATTGTTTCAGGGTATGACCTGATAGAATTGCAGTTTCTGAGTACTTATTTCTTGGAAAAGTAGCTTTATTTATATTCAATGGGTTTGCCATTGCTATGCTCAGAATGCAGTAGTAGCCTAGCCAAGGCTAACTTCTACAGAATTTTCACCACTACCATGAGCATGACATGAGTATGTCTAATGGAATTTAACAAAGAAGTAACCCTTTTCATAATCAGAAAAAGATTATGCAAGAGTATCTAGGGATGTCAGAGACAATGAGCATAAGATCATAATCATAGTTAATGGTCTGGATATCCACTTGGACCATCATTGATCTAAACCAAACATTTGATTCTGAAGCAAAGGAGCATTAAAGACTTTCTAAAACATTACTATGGCAAATTATGTCCTAATGCAAGAAATTTCTTTATTATATCAAATGAACCCAGCACAATTCTGCAGTGAATCTTCTCATAGCCAGTGTCTGCTAAGTCTGGACATGGACTCCATGTTGTATTTCTGTTGCTGTCTTAAACAGTTAGCTGAGAAGGTTTGAGCTGGGAGGGGTTTTAGCCTTTGTTTCTTTTTCCTGTTTGGTTATGTTTTGTTCCCTTTTAGTGTAGGAATTTAT